GCCGCCCTGGGATTAGCGTGGTGCAGGGGGTGGTGTTTATGGATTTGGGTTGCTGTTCTGCTGGCTTCAGGCCCACTTCATCAGCTGGAATGATAATTTGTTCTTGGCAGGGATCTGTCCAGATTCCAGCACATGCGGGTCCCCCACCCCATCACTCAAACCAGGATCCGGGAAGGGAGGACGGATTGCTTTTCCCTCTCTGTTGGCTGGTTCCCAGAAGAACCCTGGTGTTTCTCCCAAATGCTCAGTCACACATCCTTCGTTTGTTCTCGAGATGTTTCCAGCTGGCACAGCTCATGGGCAGCCCCCTTGGGGGCAGAACTGCCCTGGGGGCAGTGTGGGAGCACAGGACTGGACTGGTGGGCAGGCCCCAGGAGGGGACTCCAGACACAGGGCACAGGGCTAGAGGGTTCTCTCCCTCCTCCTCCTCCTCCTCCTCCTCCTCCTCCCCCTCCCCCCCCTCCCTGTCCCACCTGTAGGAGGTGGGCTGAAAGGGAAGCTGGTGCCCTGGACCAGAAGCAGAATGGAGGGGGCGCCGGAAGCGTTTTCACAATTGTGGAGAAATAGACCCCCCTCCTCCTTGTCCCAGACTGCCTCCATGCTCTGGCCTGCTCTAGTGAGAGAAAGGATGAGCAAGTCACAGTATAAAGAGTCAAGAAGTTAAAAAGCTCAGCTGGGTACCACTAGGACCGGTGATAACCATAATGGCTTTTACAACTGCCCAGAAGTCGTTCATAGAATCTCTACGGTATGCCAGGTGCCCTGTGAGGTATAGGGCTGTAGAGAGCGGGGCTCCGGCCCTATAGACAGGCCTGTCCTCCTTGGGGACCACAGTGCAAGATGAGTGACAGGGTCCAGTGAGTGGGCACAAGGTGGCCTGCCCAGGTTCAGGGGTGCTTCCATGAGGAGTTTGTGCACAGTGATGTGTGAGGGGCCTTCCAGCTCTGAGATTTGGGGGCTCTTCCCTCGTGCCCTGAGAGATCAGAAGGGTGTGCTTGGAGGTGAGCTCCAGGCCTGAGAGGGACAGGACTCCTAGAAAGGGAAAGATTTGGTGGATGTCTGGGGACACATGAGAATGGTTTTGCGGAGGTGAAAGAGAGCTCGCATCTGGAAGCATCAGGCTGTGAGTTTGCAGAAGGGGTCAGGTGGTGAATGATCTGTAGGGGTCTCTAGGAGAGGGGCTGTGGCCCCTTGTGCTTTGAGCACAGAGGTTGTGAGTTCACTGGATTCTGACAAGATCAATGGGACAGCACAACAGGTTTTAGCCCTCAGACAAGGAGGTCTTTACAAGGTTGGGTGTGAGACCCTGATGAGGGTGGTGGCAATGAGGAAAGAGGTAGAGAATGACATGGGATTCACCTTGATGACGAGCCTTGATGAGCAAGGGGGTTATGGGGAGCAGGGAAAAGAGAGGAGTCAAAGCAGGCTCAATTTTTGGCCTGGATTCCAGAGAAAATGATAAAATGTCAGAGCCCAAGTGTGCATTATCCACGGGGCAGCAGTGATTTGAAGAAGCACTTGGTCGTTGGAGCTCCAGGAAGCCTGGCCCCATGAGACTCAACCACTGACCACAGTTTAGGTCCTTCTGAGTCTGTGGGACCAGTTCCACCTAAGGGCGTGACCAAGGCTTGAAAATCAGCGCCCATCTTTACGGTCCATTCCAACTTCCTCCCAGTTCATCTCTAGTAAAGGGCCTTACTAACCACTTATCTGTGTCTTAAAAAACTACACCTGTGTGTAGGATGTCTTCGGCCCTCTCCCTGAATGGGCCAGCCAAGCGTGGCAAGGTGATTTTGGGTGCAGCTCAGAATGACTATGTGAGGTGATCTTGGAATTGTTCTGATGAAGCATTGTGAAAGTGGGGATACAGATGATGAGGATGGCCTTGCCACTCAAAGGTTACCAAGCCCCTTTATAGCCCGTGTGTCATGTCATCTGCTTACTCCTCACTACAAATGTCTGGGGAAGGAACTTTAACTTAGATTTTCCAGGACCAGGATCTGAACTTAAGACACTCCATGTCCGTACTCAACCCTTACCTTCCAAATGATCGCTGCCACCCTGATGCCCTACCGTCCCGGATCATTCCCTGGGCAGCATCCTTCTTTGGTGAGAATTACTCTTGGGAAGATCCACGTGTTGAGTCACACCCTCAGCAGAGCAAATAGAGCAAATTGTGGAGTGTTCAACGCGTTGCATCCTTGACCTGATCAGTTCCAGGCGCACTGTGTTCCAGGTGGGGAGGGTAGGAGGGCACAGAAGAGTGTACTGGGGGCAGGGGGGAGGGGGTCTCGCTCAGGGACAGCTCGTAGAGTGCAGACATCCAGGTACCTCTCCGTGTCCCTGGCTGCAGCTCTGACCTGACAGAGAGACTGCTGGAATATGGGGTGGAAATCTCATCCGCTCCTTCCACCATGCCTCTCCTTTGCTGTATAATCTCAGATGTGTTCTTAACAGATTCTATGTCCCAGTGCTGTCACCTGAAACCTGGGATCAACATGGCCAGTCTTCCTTTGCTTTTCTTCATAGAAGAGAGGAAGATGGCCACAAAACGCGGTCCCTTTAAGTGATTTGCGTGTCATGCGTGCATTTTTAAGTTGTTGACTGCTTTTTTCCTGTGTATGTGCCATCGAGTTATTAAACAGCTGTCAACTTGGGTTAGGGTCTGATGATGGTGCCAACTTTTGGAATGTATCAGTACATCTCGGTCTTGGCTGCCTGGTTGTTTTGTACGTATTAACACCCTCTGATCTCATTCATTCATCAAATATTTATTGTGCAATCCATTGCTGCTGTGTTGTGAGTGTGCATGTTTTGGTTTCCTGGGGCTACCATAACAAAGGACCACAAAGTGGGTGGCTTCAAACAACAGAAACCGATTCTCTTGTAACTTTGGAGGCTGTAAGTCTGAAAGTCAAGGTGTTCACAGACTCATGTTCCCTCTGTAAGCGCCAGGAGACAATTCTTCTTGGTCTCTACCTGACTTCTGGTGGTTGCTGACAATCCTTGGCATTCCTTGGCTTGTAGACACTACAATCTGCCCCCCCCCCTTCACATAGCACTCTCCCCATGCGTCTGCTGTGCTTTATCTTCTTATAACAACACCGGCCATTGGGTTAGGACCCACCCTCCTCCAGGACCAGCCCCTCTTAACTAACTACATCTGCAAATGACCCTATTTCCAAATACGGTTCCATTCTGAGGTTCCAAGTGGACATGAATTTTGAAGGGACACTCTTCAATTCGCTACAATACGGATTTGGCATTTTCCTGGGTCTTCTTTTTCTTTCACAAGGCAGCAAGAGGAGGGAGCTTAGAGTCTGGCTCTTCACAGCTGGGACAGGGATGCCAAGAATGAAGCTGGCAGTTGTGTTGGGAAGGAGAGGACATGTACATCTGTGAGTCCAGGACAAGGCAGTGTGAGATAAGTGTTGAGTGGCACCAAATATGCCCGTTCAGATGGGCCATGCCCACCCTCAGCAGGAACGCTGGCTCAGAGAGGGTCTGGCCAAAAGTGAAGTGATGCGCAAGCAGCCTGGGGTGGGGGGGGTGGGGACAGGCGGGCATAGGAGATCGATGGGGAGCACAGCAGGCTGGGGGGGTGGTGGGAAAGTCTAACTGCATTCTGGGAATGGCAAGCCATCTACTGTGATAGGTGAGGCCGAGGGGCAGGGCCAGACAGACCGGGGTCGAAACCTGGGCCCCTTTTCTTGCCAGCTGGCCGTGTGGCCTCAGACGAGCAACTTCTGTAACTGTTGTTCTAAGACGATATGCGCAGCATTGTTGTGGGTACTGAATCCGGTCACATGTGCTGGAATCCCCGCCACAGTGGAGCCTGGCCCTAGAAGAAAGTCCTGCTCAGGAGCAAATAGACACCCCTCCCTGCCCCCAGATGCCCAAGCCAGATGCTCCACTTCCCCCAACCTCACCTATGTTTAGTCAAGGTCTGTCTGTTCTACCTCCACACGGCCACTCTCATCCCTCCGGACCACCACCTCCCACCTGGGGTGCAGCTTCCTCATGGCCTCCCCGCCTCTGCTTTCCCTCCCGTCCTGATCCATTTTCCAACATGGCAGCCTGAGCCGTCTCCCTTGTGTGCAGACCTGATGACACTCTTGTTTTCCCTCAGACCCTGTTGCGGTTTCTGGTACCCTCAGGGTCAAGTCCAACACTTAGGCCATAACTCCAAGAGCCCCCACTTTTGCACCCTCCTTGTCCAGCATATGCCCCCAGCTGCTAATCCCACCGTGGCTCACAGGTCTCTTTCTTATCTTCAAGCTCTTACAAGGATGGTTCCTCCTGCCTGGAGCTCTCCCTGTCATTCTGTCTCTGTCCATCCGGGCTGCTAGGACAAAATACCCCGCACTGGGGGGCTTAAACAACAGACATGTCTGTCTCACAGTTCTGGAGGCCGGAAGTCAGATCAGGGTGTGGCACGGTAGGGTTCTAAGGAGAGCCCTGTTCCTGGCTTACAGACGGCCACTTTCTTGCTGTGTCCTCACATGGCAAAGGGAGAGGGAGAGGGAGAGGGAGAAAGGACACCTCAAGCACGAAGAAGGGGATAGGGAGCAAGAGTGCTCTCTGGCGTCTCTTCTTGGGGGCCCTATTCCCATGACCTTATCTAAACCTAATCACATCCAAAGGCACCACCTCCAAATACCATCACATTGAAGATCAGGGCTCTGACATATGCATTTGGAGGCGGGGGGGGGGGGGGAGGCGGAACAGAGACATTCAGTCCATAACATACCTCCACTCCTCTTTTTACTTAGCCACCTTCTGTTCCTCCTCGAGATTTCACTTTGGATATTACTTCTTCCAGGAAGCTTTCCCTGATTTCCCCTGCACACACACAAGACTGGGCTAGGTGGAACCCTCCGTGCTTCCTAGGCATAGTGCTGACCGTTTCTCTCTTTAAGAAGGAGTTTTTTTCTTCCTCTATAGGTGGCCTATTCCACAAGCTACCCTCTAACCTTGGTGCCATCTTGTAACCCTTTCAGGACCTCCCGGCCCCAAAGGCGATCAGGGGGATGAAGGGAAAGAAGGCGAGCCTGGGATCCCTGGATTACCTGGACTTCGAGGTAACTGGGAGGCCCTGGGAAGGACCTGGGCATATCAGGAAGGAGAGGGTGCCCCCATTCTGTCCCTGACCCTCCACCCTCTCATTGGTATTGGTGAAGGGGCCCCCGGGAGAGCCCCCAATCCACCCAGCTTCAAATGCCCTGCTGTGTCGAGACACTGATGCATTGCTGTTATCACAAGGATGGGGCAAAAACTTCTTCACATAAAGTACCAGGATCTGAAGGCAAAGGTGGGCATGAGAGGCTCACAGCTTCCTGCAGCCACTTCTCAGCCCGGGACGCAGAGTTCACATGACCAGGGCCTTTGGCAGGAATCGAGGGTGTTCCACAAGCATGCTGTGTGTCCTCAGTGTGTCCTGAGCCACCGGGCACCCGATACTCCCTCCTCCTTGCTGATTCTGCCCAAATCAATGAACACGCTAGTGACAGGCCTGAAGATCCGGTGGCTGATGGGGAGGATGTTTTTTGGCCTTCTGGAAAGAGTGTGTTCTTCTCAGACTCCTTGTCTCAGGATGCTTCTGTTCTGTTACTTTCTCAAACTTGGCCTCCCAGACTGTTCGCTTCTGAGCCTCTGCTGTGAGCGGCATTTCCCCGGGAGAGTGCAAAGTCTTCTCAAGGATGTAAGAAAAGGGGAAGTTTATCTGGGGAAAGATGTATGTTTTGTTTATGTCAGGAATTCCATCTTCAAACCATCTTCTTCCTAAATCTTGAGGAGGTTGCACACAGGAGAGGGGCAGAAGGTAATAGGAGGAGAGCCCACGGCCTGGCCTCTACTCCTGGCTCACCTCCAGGGGAACGCCCCAAATTCAGAACTGAGGATGCCTAAACACTCACAGGCCTGCGGAAACTCTTTTTCTGCCTTATTAAATTATACGATGGGGAGCCCTGGGCAGATCCCATACTAGATTCAGAACTCTGTGGCAATGGGGCCATTGGACTCCACACAGGTATCTCGTGTTAGGAAGGAAAAAAAGAAATCAATCAGCCCTTCTCTGAGGTACCACCATCCTCTGGGCCGTTCATCCTCCTCCAGACATTTGATGTGAGCTCTGGAGAAATCATTACTGGAAGACAGGTTTCTCCGTGTCACGCAAAGAGACCAGAGAAAGCCAGCCCACATTCAAAGCGGGAAAGAACAAGTAATCAGTTAATTAAGAGTTCTCTGCTTTACAGAGATAACTGTGGGCTTAGGTCAGGCCTCTCGGGGAGCAGGGCTCTCACTGGGTGAAAGTATTTGTTGATTCTGGCTCTCCATAGTGACGTGCAGGCAATGGCCACGGGACCTCGTGGCTGGGAGCCCCGGGGCCTGATCTGGCAGCCAGTCATCTCTCCCATTTACTGGCCTTGCTGACTTTCTTCCTCCTCCTCAGCCTATGATCCCCTTTGCTCTACCTCCCTGGGGTTTACAGCGGGGAAGGGATCTTTGTGGGGTTTTTTGTTAAAGAGAATGGGGAACTATTTCATCTGCCTCTTACCCTAAATACCAGTAAGCCCTTTTCATCCAGCATGAGATAAACCTGATTGACCACAAGCTATTCAGTTCAGGAAGACCAGAGCTCAGATCCTGCCCCCAACACTCTCTGCTGTGTGACCATGGGCAGGTTACTTAACCTCTCTGGGCCTCAGTTTCCTCATTTGTAACACAGGTGAAATAGTACCTCGGTTGATTGTGAGGATGAAATGAGGTACTCTATGAAAAGAATCCAGAACGGTGTCTGACACATAGAGAGTACTCAAAAAACTGTTTGCTGAGTTGAAATCTCCAGCACAACTAGAGGCAAAGGGACATCTCCCAAATGCGGTGGGCACCACCACCATTACTCACAATAGAATTGGACCTTCCGGGGTCAGGGGCCCAGCCTAACTGGCTAAGAGGCGCCAGTGGGGAAGGTTTGTGCTGACCTTTCGAACACTGTTTTTGCAGCCTCTCTAACTTCACTGAGAAGAATCAGTAAGGAAAAGCCACAGGAGGACGCGTGGTTGAGGGTGATGGCCGGGCCAGATGGTGACCTGTAAAGGCCCTCCAGCTCTGAGTCTGAGGCCCCACAACTTGTCCTGTGTCTCCCCAGGTCTGCCAGGAGAGAGAGGAACCCCAGGGCTGCCAGGCCCCAAGGGTGATGATGGGAAGATGGGAGCCACAGGACCAATGGGCATGCGCGGGTTCAAAGGTAATAGCAAACCTCAGAGCACCTGTGTAGCCTTGCTCATCGCTAGCCCCTGGGCAGCAGCACGGGCACCGGAGCAGATGGACTATCTTTGCATTTTGGCTCTGCCATTGACTAGCTCAGTGACCTTGGGCAAGTCACTTGGTCTTGTTAAACATTCATTTCTTTTTTTTTTTAATGTTTATTTATTTATTTTGAGAGAGAGAGAGAGAGCACACATGTGTGCACACAGGGAAGGGGCAGAGAGAGAATCCCAAGCAGGTTCTGAGCTGTCAGCACGGAGCCTGATGCAGGGCTTGAACTCATGAACCGCAAGATCACGATCAGAGCTGAAACCAAGAGTCGGATGCTTAACCGACTGAGCCACCCACGTGCCCCTCTACATTCTTTTCAAGAGTGAGCAGATTTCCATGGTAACTGCAGCACAAGATGAGGAAATCTGATGCTGTGTCCCCAGTCTTAACCCTCTCCCTTGTAAATATGAAAACGAAGAAAAAGTACTATTAATCATTCCTACCCCGTGTCTAGGATGGTCTCTTAGTCTTGGATCACTGAGAACTTTTATTCTACTTTCTGGTGATTAAACAGGCTGAGATTTTTCTTCCTTTTATGATCTACATTTTAAAAAAATGATTTTGGGGTGCCTGGGTGGCTCAGTTGGTTAAGCATCCGACTTTGGCTCAGGTCATGATCTTGCAATTTGTGAGTTCAAGCCCCACGTCAGGCTCTGTGCTGACAGCTCGGAGCCTGGAGCCTGCTTCAGATTCTGTGTCTCCCTCTCTCTCTGCCCCTCCCCTATTCACGCTCTGTCTCTTAACAATAAATAAACGTTAAAAAATTTAAAAAATAATATAAAATTAAATTAAAAATTTAAAAAATGATTTAAAAAATTTTTTTTTCAACGTTTATTTATTTTTGGGACAGAGAGAGACAGAGCATGAACGGGGGAGGGGCAGAGAGAGAGGGAGACACAGAATCGGAAACAGGCTCCAGGCTCTGAGCCATCAGCCCAGAGCCTGACGCGGGGCTCGAACTCACGGACCGCGAGATCATGACCTGGCTGAAGTCGGACGCTTAACCGACTGCGCCACCCAGGCGCCCCTAAAAAATGATTTTAAAACAGACTACAAAAGCAGCCTATGCTTGTTGAAAGTATTTAATAATACAGAAGCAGATAAAGTGTAATGTATAAAGTGAAAAGCGAGTCCCCTGCCCCATAGCCCCTTAAGCTATTATTCTTTGGAATAACTACTGTAAACATTTTGGAGCATATCCTGCCAGAACTTTTTCTAAGCATATTTATATTTACATATATGGTTGCCTTTGTTTTGGGGTGTTTTTTTTTCTTCAACACTTGGATCACATTAGGCATCCATCCCTGGAACTTGCTGGCTTGCTTTTTTT